CTCTACATTTAAATCTTAGGTAAGTGAGCGCCTTTCCTTCAGGCAGCAGGAGGCATGCAAGGCAGTGGGAGTTACTCAAAAGCAGCGATTACAAGGGTAGAAGAAAAACCTGTGAGACAGGAAACTTTCTTCGTCCTTACTTCCTGACACATCTGGTGAAGGCAGAGTGGAAAACTTTTTTTTTTTTTGATACGGTCAAGCTTGCTTGATTTGGTTTTTGAGCAGTAGACCTTGGGAAAGGATGGCGTCAATTCAAGTGAGATCCTCTTCCTTTGGCAATCCCTTGCCGTACTGTGCTGAACTCATCCAGTAGCCGTTTAGAGCTTGGCAGAAAAACACCCTTTGAAATTTGGCTTTCAGCAGTTAATTGAATTTCTGCTGATGGGAGGTGGCCTCGCTAAAAGAAAAAGGTTTATTTTCTGCTCCGTTGTCTGACCTGATCTGCTGCAGCTGGTCTGTGATAGTGTCCAGTTGCAGAAGGGTGCTTATCAGGGCTTGCTGTTGATGGACTACATTTGGTACTGTCCCTGGTTTTCGGAGTAACTCCAGGTATTAATAAGGCACAGATATTCGGGAGCAATGCCAGACAATCTTATGCTGGTTGTTACAACAGAACATTTTTCCAGTCAAGGCATCCAAGAACTTTAAACATCAAGGATATTTTTGGCTGGATTTTTTGAGAGTAACTTCTCAGATGTTACAACCTGCCCAAAGGAGGCAGTGTACATTGCCTTACATGCTTTGAGCTGGCTATTTACTATTTTTCCTCAGGTGTATAAAAAGTGAGGGAGAAATTGAAAAGCTTCAAGCCAAACTTGTAGAAATGAAGAAAAAGCTGGACAACACTACTGCTGCGATGCAGGAACTTGGCAGAGAAAACCAGTCATTACAGGTATAATTTGGTTTGAAGCAATTAAACCTGTTGATTCTCTGTGTGGGAACTTATGAGAATTCCAAGTTTGTGTCAGAGTGGTGGTGGGTTACCTTTCCAGAGTGATTAAGATGTTATGCTTGTGGTGTACAAGGGCCATATTGCTATCTGTGGGTTCTTAAATCTGCTTATGGTTTTAAAACTTGGAAGATTTTCTCTCTGAACAAATATAAGGTCTCAGTCTGTGGCAGAGTTGGTGCTTTTATACCACACTGGGTAGTGTGTGCAGTGAAAATAGAGGAGATGAGTAGGAATTAGACATGCATTTTAAAGAAACGCTGCTTTTTTAATATCTTCTATATAGATCAAACACACCCAAGCTCTCAACAGGAAGTGGGCAGAAGACAATGAGGTACAGAATTGTATGGCCTGTGGAAAAGGCTTTTCAGTGACAGTCAGAAGGGTAGGTGTGTTTTACTGTGTGTCTGTGGGGGCTTTTCTTTTTCTATTGTTTTCAAACTCTTGGATGCAAACTTCAGAAAATGGCCTTCATAGTGCTGTGATACTGAGGACATCTTAGAATGCAGTTGCTTGCAGTGCCTTAAAAAATAAAGCTTATGGAGCTTACTTTATTCATGATTCTCTTGCCATTTTAGCAGCATCAGTTTATGAACAGTGTTAAAATAGTTCAGTCCCCTAAGTAAGCAAGCAAAATTACACTGCTGTAAGCATATTTACAGTAAACTTATTTATAACCAGTCTGAACTGGACTTAGAGGTATAAAAGGAATGTAAATTCGCTGAAATTAGATATATGTGAAAATATGAGGCATCAGCGTGACCTGGTGCTTTGTAACTGTATATTTCTAAACACTAACTAGACATGGAACAGAAGAAACAACTGGATGTGTTTTAGGTCTGCAGTCAGACCTTTGTAAAAACAGCTGTGGTCAGCTAAGACGTTAGCATGCCTCAATGGGCAGGGTCCGCCCTTCATCCAGAGGTGTCCATCCCTCCAACAAGTGACTTGGCAATGAAGTAGGCAAGGGATATTCATGACGTTCATTTTGCAGTGCTTCCTGACTTGGTCTTAGGTGGCTCTCTCTGTCCTGCAGTATTTCAGTGATGTTCTTTAGGTATTCTTGGAACAAGGGTTGCTGGATCCTTTGATTCAAGGGTACTTCTCAATGTGAAAGCAGGTAGTTACATGTAAGAAGAACATACTTTATGTGACCAGAACAAGTTCAAGAGGAGGATGAACTTCAACCAGTTCATTTCTGCAACTGGTATAGTCTCCAAACTCGGTGAAGCACTTCTGAATATTTTACTCCTATACCCTTTAGAAAGGTTTTACTGCTATGCTTTTGTGTGTGCCATGTAACTGCTATTTAAAAATTCAGACTACCTTCTGAAACACGAGAGTTGACTTGACATGATAGTGATCTCTATTAGTGATCTATGCCCTGTCATTGATGTTCAGCAATGTTTCTTCTCTTTCACAGCATCACTGTAGACAGTGTGGAAATATCTTTTGTGCCGAGTGCTCAGCAAAGAATGCCTTAACTCCTTCTTCTAAGAAACCTGTCCGAGTCTGTGATACTTGCTTTAATGACTTGCAAGGATAACTGGCTGTTGTGAGTGACAAAGAAATGTTACACTAAAATCTATAATTTCTGTTGTTGCACTTCGTTCAGCACTCAGACTACTGTTCAGTTCGGACAATGATTGTAACACTTGGCAAAAATTAGTATATTTTAAAATGTTTATTGATACCAAGTAAAACTATTGTATTTTTTGTGAGACATGGGCTCAGATCATCCATAGCTTATTGCCATTTATCCTGGAAAGAGCTTCTATGTCTAGATTAGAAATACCCACTTATTTGTAAATAAAGTTTAAACAGAGGAGTAACAATGTATTTTTTTATCTTTTATTTTTTTGTTCAAGAGAAACAGCGTTTATGTGATATTGCAGTTTATTCTTGTTTCCTTCAAAGAAAAAGGAAGATGCAAAAACTTGTGAGGATTTTATGTATCAAATGTTGGTGTAAAAGCATAAGTAATTGTTGCATTTGATTGCATATCTGATGTTCTTCATAACCCCTTGTGATTTTGTTTTCTTTCTATCTGTCTGTTTCTTGGACTTTTCTCTCTAAAGTTGAACTCCACAGTGAGGGTAACGGCTGGACTCGACTCCAACTCAGTTTTTATTTGCCCACTTAGAAGCTGTAGTATCAGCACCCAAGTCCTTATCCAACTACAGTGCTTGGATATGGGAACATCTTTACACATACTGTATTGCATAGTTTGTGTGTGCGTGCGTGTGTCTGTCTGGGAGAGATTGTGTGAACAAACGATGAGATAAAGTTTAGCCACCCTTGTAGGAATATTATATGATACGTTACAATATTCCATCCAGTATTGATTGATTTCACTTTTACATATTTGGTTGATGGATTTTAGTATTCCAGAAACCCTTATGTGTGGGCTTTAGAAAGCAAACAAATGACACTTGGTAGCAGCCTGTAGTGCATCTCTCCCACTGCCCATACCCTGGAAGCCCTGAGAAGTCCTTGTGGTTCTAAGGGATACCCAGACCTTCTGTGGGTATCCTACTAAGAAAAACTGCTGCAGTTTATCTGACCTTTTCTTCTGTCCCTTCCCTCAGCTTTTGGTGAAAGAAGCTGAACTTCTGCTACACCTGACAAACCTCTGTTTTCCATTACTCCATCTGACCCCCATTACCAGGGGGCCTTAAGTGTTATGTTAGTTACGTGATTTAGTCTGCTTAGAGGGGTGGTGTGAATCTCCTGCTACTGGCTTAGTTATAAGCCAAACAGCTCTAAATAAGAGGCCAATATGTGTCTTTAGATATTTATTCCTATTTTGTTTTCTGTACTTGCAGCAGGGGTTTCTTATAGAGTTCATGTAGGCTCCAAACTTCTTCTTTGTTGTGATTTTTATTTATACCTGTTCATTCTTGCCTTCTTGTCTATATCTACTTGTCTTCCCTTTGTACCTGGTATTTCGAAACAGTTACGGTTATTTCTTCCAAGCGGGGGTTATGCCTTCTAATATTTAGGAACCCTTTGTCTTAAATACCCTAATAAATTCCCCCCATCCCAAGCCCTTCTATGTCTTACAAAATTTTGCCATCTGTTCAGACAAAAGCACTGTGTCCTGAATTTCTCTGCTTCTTGCCTGAGGTAAGGAATCAAATCCTGTCACAATGATGGAAGCTTAGCCATCATTAGGCGGGTTTGTTTGTTCTTATCTATTGTCAGCCCTATATGTGAATGAAGAAGAGTCTCTTTTATGAAAAATGTCTAGTCCTGATTAACGCTCAAGTGAAAAAAACTTCTTAATCCCTCTTCTCCAGAAGTAGTGGTCTGTATCTCTCATATCCCTTCATAGCTTGCCTGTCTAGTTCTACATTTGCAGCCTCAAGGAGTCTTCCTCAAGGAGTTTTCTTAAAATTAAATTCTTATTTCCCAAAAGCCAGCTGAATTGTGTAACTGGTTCTCCTCACTGTAAAAGGGTTTGGGATACAACCATGGCTTATGTGAAATACTGACCTGCTTTTCTGGTTCAGCCTCGAGAGTTGCTTGCTCAAAAGAAACAACTGCTGCAATGATTCCATATGAACAGAGCCTCTGGACTTGCTGTTTCTTCTCATCGGTGTAACTGCTTGGCATAAGAATCTTTTGAATGGGAAATATGAACAGAATCTCTTCCTCTGGGAATTTTTTTTCTACTTATTTATTGAGAGAATCTGAAGAGTTTGCTTTCGAGCCTTTCTTTGACACGTGACTTCAGAAATGTGGGAAAGGTAAAGATGTGGCAGTCGTGCTCCAGCCTAGATGCGCTGTGCCCTGTGCTGCACCAGGCAGAGCCTTGTACTGCTCTCAGGGCGAAGGACAGCCATGTGGACCAGAAGGGAATTTGAGAGGCAAGAGAGAAGCTTCCTGCGGCTGCTCAGGAACAAAAGCACGTGAGTCAGAGGAAGATGGAGGTCTTTCAGGGGGAGCTAGGAAAGTGGTTAAGGCCCATTGTGTTCAGGCATTTTGCTTTTGAATGGTCACGCGAGGAAGCTGAGATGAGAGCTCTGCAGTAAAGAGGAAGTGGTAGAAGCTCTACTAGGGTTGTTCATAATTCAGCCTTTTGGGATGCGTTTGTGTAAAGACAAGCACAGTCACCTCACTCAGCTGGCCGCTGAAGCAGTGTGGTTGGTTGACCACAGATCAGACCTTGGTCTGGAACCCCTTCACTTCAGGGGCAAAACCAGCTCTATTTCTGAAGGTTTTTTTTTGTTGACCAGTTTGTATGACCAGCTTTTCGAGAGGATGGAAATGCTTTTCAAATACACATTTGTAGAAAGGGAGATTGTTAAAATCTGGACGAGCTGTCGTGGGGTAGAAGCCTTCATGCTTGAGCTTTGAGTCTGCAGCAATACATCAGGATTTCTACAGCTTTTCACTGGAGTAAATATGCGACTCCATTGCTAAATCTTATGCTCCTTTTGTGCTTATGATTTAGTGCTGGTCTGTATTTGTTGACAAGTTGATGATACACTAGGCCCTGTAATGCTCTTGGCTGCACCACCAGGTTGGAAGTTGTGCTCACACTCAGTAAAATGACCTATGAGATACATAGTAAGGGAAACTGGAAGGTGAAAAGCTTTGTATTTATAAATCTGCTTGCAGACTCTGACTGTTTTGATGGGCGTGTTTCAGTAGGAATGTGGGGGTTTTGTTGCACTGCTTTAAAATATGAATAATAGGAAAACCTAGTAAAAAGCCTTCTACCATGCTGAGTTAAAGGATTCCAGACAAAATAGTTTAATGCACTGATTTTTCAGACTGCAAACACAGGGGCAGAGGGGAAAAACTAATAAAATGGCACAAGAGACTAGAGCCTTGGAACTGGAGGATGCACAGTGATGTGTTTCAGCAGCCTCGAGCAAGAACCAGGTTGCTCTGATTCACTGAGGAGAAGCCGTTATAGAGCAAGAGGTGGAAGTAACGGTAAAACCGGCGCTCGAACCAGGTGTGTTGGATCCTCAAGCTGCCTTTGATTACTAGCTATTACTGTGACATCAGGAATGGGACAGTGAAGTGTGGGTTTTGTTCCTGAAACTGTCCCCTCTGCAGGACACTCCTTCCGCATTCGGAATTGCTGGGGGAGCAAAATATGAGAGACCAGCTGCTACGTGGGCTGAGACAAGCTGCGGAGGTGATTTGAAGAGCGTGAAGGATAGTCTTGTTAAGGGTGGGGAGAGGTTCTTTAACTTCCTGGAGACATCACCTCTCTTCGCATTCAAACAGCCACAATCCCTTGGGTTGTTGCCTCCGAAATGCCAAATCCTACTGTTCTACTCCAGCCTCGTGCCAGCAACACATACTTCATAACTCCGTCCTGCGCCCCTTCTGGAGGCAGGTAGCGTTGCAGAGGTCAGCAGCAGGCTTTTGATCTTAGCTGGCTGTGCTTCCCTGTTACTACTTCTCCCCATGTATTCCTTCCCTCCAGTAATCTTCCCCTTTCTGCAAAGGTTGAACAAGGAGGATAAAATTAATGAGTCACAGTAGGAAAACTTGCTTTCATCAGGTGAAGAGACAAAAGGAATTTTCTGCTGCAGCTTCCAACAGAGGCAAGAGGTTTCGAGGGATCTCATTTTTCAGCTGGCTTCACTCTCTGACACAAGAGTCCAAGGCTCTAGGGTATAGTTTGGTTTTTTTCCTCTGTTTTTGGAAGGTATCGAGTAACCAAGTTGCCATGGAGTGTGGAGCACTAGGTACACAAAAACAACAAATAACTATTTTTGTTAGTTTTGGGATGATTAGGTTTATTTGTGAATCCTCACTGGAAAAGCTTTCTTAGTGAGGCCAGAAAGGATTTGGGAGCAGAGACATGAAGTAACCTTGCTGTGTTTGTATTACATTAGCAAGAACGATTGAGTCTCTTGTGCTAGATATAAGAGAAGTGGCATTCCGAAAGAAAGGACCTGGAAAACTCAAGTACTTTTCTGGATTATAAAATGTCAGTTAAAACGCAAAGTGGGAACAGATGCTTGTTACAAAACTTAAAAAATTTATGACCTGTACTCAGTGGCAGGGAGAAAACTGCTGCAGCTTAGGTTCCAAGAGAATATAAACTCTGTCAAGAAGAATGATACCGTGGTTTGAGTATGTTGGAACTGGTAAATCACTCCTCCAGGTACCACCCCTCCAACTCTGATATTCTTGGAGGACTATGAAACAACACTGTCATTTGCACTATGCACTTTTTGCTGTCTAACTGAATATAATCTACAGTAAGTGGAATGGCATAATTTGTGCTGCATGTGTTAGCTGTAATCAATGGACAGCAGGTTTATCTTCAGCTGGACTTTTCACTGTATTACATTTGGCCCCTTGCTATGTAAGGAGAATTGCACTCATAATTCCTTTGTACCAAAAATGCAATCATCGTCTGAGAGCACATGTAACAACAAAAAAATGTAGTCATGCACACGTTGTCTTTGTAGAGCTTCATTTTAAGATGATAAAACGAGAAAACATGAATTTTGTGTATTTTCAAGGGTCTTGCCAGTTGTCCAGTTCTTAATTTTTGAAGTCTTGACCTCAGCATCCCGTCTAGGATAAGTTTAAAATTATAGTCCAACCACAGCCTCTCCAAAAGCACTAAGTGGTGTACTTTTCAAAACCAGCAATAATTAGATAGTAAAGTCCCACCACAGAAACTCAGTTTGAGGGGTATTGGGGGTGGGGGGTGGGGGGTTAGGGGCACTGAAAAGGAGGGTTGCATTTTTAGAGAGAACATTAGGTGCCACTTAAGATCACGATAATGAAGAGGATAGGTACTAGTTAATGTTAACAAACTGCCTTTTGTCTGTAGCTCACCACATACTATGCACTCACTGTGCAGCAGATGCAGGAGTATCTGCTCGTTTGAAGATCACTGAAGCCCTGCTAACCCTTTTGGATCAATGTTACTATGAAAGCAGAAGCCGTGTAGGCATGTTTTCCAATTTTTCCTCCTCCTATGACCTC